TTTCAAACCCCCCCCCCCCCCCCAGAAATAAACAGTATTCCAGGAGGTAAAAAAAGCAGAAGATTGCACACAAATTATTTATTAAAATGCTTTAAAAAGTGTCTAAATCTACATTTTGGTGTCTAAAATATCATTAATATTCAGTAATATCGATTCAGCTGCACTGACACTATCAAATGTGAACAAAACTTGAACTAAACTGAGCTGGATTGGATAAATAACACTAACTTTAGTGACATTAACCTGCATCGAGTTGAATAATGACACTGTAGAGCTGCTTAGCTGGAACTGAAGTTGTATCATAATAGATGTATTTTACAGTTGCACTGGTCTGACATTAACACTTATGAAGTGACTGTGATTTGTGCTGAAATGAGCTGCTGAGGTAATTGAGATGACGCTACAGATGCTGTAGAAGGCGTTTAACTCGGACTGAACTCTTCAAAGGCGCTCAGCTCAGATTTATTTCTCCTCTTCACACTGGAGAAAACAGCAGACGGTTCTGGATGGTGACACGCAGAATAAGAGCTTTAAATATTAATGCACAGAACACTTGCACCATGGTACTGCTATGTTTTTGGACACATATCATGAGAGCAGCATGTAAGAACTAGCTCATATTGTTAACTGGATCAAATGAGGTCATTACAGTAACGAGCTCAAGTGCCTTCATCATTTTACCTTAATAACAGTTCCAATCAGTCATTTTTAATGGTAGTTATAATTAATTCCAAATATAAGAGCTTTGAGTCTTTTTGTTCTCTTATTCTCTATAGTTCTCTGGCTCCTGATTGGCTGATTAGTCTGACGCGATGCTGGAAGAGATGATTCATGTGGAGGATGTCGAGTGGTTCCTGCCTGCTCCAGTTTCCAGAACTGACCTTCAGTGATCAGACGCACCATTTAAATCTGCTGGAGCACAAAACTGCTGAACAAAATCCCACAGACGTGCATCACACTAGACTACTGAAACTACACAGCAACAGCAAACAACACCCTAGCAACAACACAGCAACCTCACAAAACATCCTAGCAACATCCTAATGACACAGAACATCACAGTAACATCCTAGCCACACAGAAGACCCTAGAATCACCCTAGCGACCACACAATACACCCTAGCAACACTCTAACAACCACACAGAACACCCTAGCAACCACATAAAACACCCTAGTAGCACTATAACAACCACAAAGAACATCCAAGCAACACTCTAGCCACACAGAACACCCTAGTGACCACACAAAACACCCTAGCAACACTAACAATCACAAAGAACACCCAAACAACCACATAAAACACCCTAGCAACACTAACAACCACAAATAACACCCAAGCAACACCCTAGTGACCACACAAAACACCCTAGCAACACTCTAGCAACCACAATGAACACCATAGCAACACCCTAGCCATGCAGAACACCCTAGCAACACTCTATTGACCACACAAAACACCCTAGCTACACTCTAATAGCCACAAAGAACACCATAGCAACACCCTAGCCATGCAGAACACCCTAGCAACACTCTATTGACCACACAAAACACCCTAGCTACACTCTAATAGCCACAAAGAACACCATAGCAACACCCTAGCCATACAGAACACCCTAGTAATCACACAAAACACCCTAGCAACACTCTAGCAACCACAGAGAACACCCAAGCAACCACATAAAACACCCAAGCAACACTCTTAACAACCACAAAGAACACTCAAACAACACACTAGTCACACAGAACACCCTAGCAACACCCTAGTGACCACACAAAACACCCTAGCTACACTCTAATAGCCACAAAGAACACCATAGCAACACCCTAGCAATACAGAACACCCTAGTAATCACACAAAACACCCTAGCAACACCCTAATGACCAAACAAAACACCCTAGCAACACTCTAGCAACCACAAAAAACACCCAGTCACACAGAACACCCTAGCAACACTCTAACAACGGCAAAGAACACCCTAGCAACATCCTAACAACCACAAAGAACACCCTAGCAACACGCTATTGGTGGCCAACCAGACCATTTCTTTACTATGATCAAATCGCAGAAATAATTTCTCCCACAACGTTTTATTTATCAAAAGAAGAAAAAGTAAATGGAAGGGAGCATCACTTTGCAAATCGCAAAAACTAAACGATTGTTCTCATCATACAGTAATCACTGAAGAAGTTGCATCGCCACACCTTTATAGCACAGACAGCATCAGTGATTCTGCTGTAGTTTTGCCGCGTTGCTTCCAGTGCTCGTCACATTGCCGTGGGCTTTGGACTAGTATGAAAACAAGCTAAATGAATGGCAACATCTAACCTAACGCAGACTCTGCCTGCTCATAAGCATCAGGTGAAGCTTCAGCTCAAGCTTTCTTTACACAATACAGACTTATCCTACGTCATTATGAATTTAAATGTTTATAATGCGTCCCTGACTTTGGCAGAAACCTCAGGAGGGTTTATAAAAGTTTGAATAAGCTGGAATCAAACTCTGGTTCTTTTGGACTCGAGGCCGCAGCAGTGATCATCAGACCATCAACATGCACAAACATCATTATGCTTCTTCAATGACTATGAAAAGTGAAGTCGGGCACAGAAGCCCACGAATCTGTAAACAACTTTCACAGCAGACGCACATCGGTTTCCCGGCCTCTGATAAGTCCAGGGGATTTAGCACTTTGGTTTCTGACTGGAAAACATTCACATTATCATGTCCCTCTCTGCACGCCAGTTGGCAAGCACAACTCAAATGACATAAAGGCTATCAGGAGATCAGTAATCCGCTCACATTGTTACTGCGGGAACACACAGCATTTTGCTCGGATGGATGCAGCACTGCAAAAGAAACTTTACTCCTGAAAACACTTTGGTATTCAAACAACCACACAGTCTCCCACACAACAGCTGGACGGACAAACACCAAACCACCGTCACGCTGATGTATGTGATGATATGCAGGAAAAAAAAGAAAAGTGCAAATTTAAAACAACCGTTTCTCACGTTGATCCAGTCCTGTTTTCTTTATTCTGTGAAACACAATGAGATGTTAGACAGAGTGTGTGACGTGCTTTTCTATACAAGTAGTGGATGGTGATTTATACAACAAAACCTCAAAAGAGATTGTGATATGAGTCTTAGTAAATGATGAGAATATTTGGTATCACTTTGCAATTCCGTTAACTTCTTTAGAGAAGGGAATAGTTCATGCAAAAATTAAAATGTGCTGAAAATGTGTTCACCCTCAGGTCATTCAAGATTAGCATGAGTTTGTTTCTTCATCAGGTTTGGAGAAATGTAGCACTGCATCAGTGTCTCAGCAATGGATGCTCTGCAGTGAATGGGTGCCGTCAGAATGAGAGCTGATAAAAACATCACAATAATCCACAGCACTCCAGTCCATCAGTTAACATCTGGAGAAGACAAAAGATGAAACTAATCCAGCATTAAGATATTTTTAACTAAAATACATAGAGTTCATAATCCATAATAACTCTTCCTCCAGTGAAAAAGTGCATCTGCTGCATATTAGTTTAGAGTTGTTTAAACGCTGCTTGATCTGTGCAGATTTCTCTCCTGATTCAGACCAGAACACTTTTTCACTGGAGGAAGCGTTATTATGGATTATGGACTCGGATTTTAGTTAAAAATGTCTTAATGGATGTGTTTCAGCTTTTGTCTTCTCCAGATGTTAACTGATGGACTGGAGTGCTGTGGATTATTGTGATGTTTTTATCAGCTGTTTGGACTAGACTGTTTGCAGAGCATCCATTGCTGAGACACTGATGCAATGCTACATTTCTCCAAATGTCAAATCGGCTCGCAATCATTTCAGTTTTCCAGCAAAATAAGCCTGGTTTGGAATCATAACCTGTTGCTCTTTAACAATCGGCTGCTTCTCTTCATCGACCATGGCATCCCAAGAGAGCTGTGAAACAATTTATGAGCACAAAATAGTGACAGTTTCAGACAAGAGCCACTAGACTAGAGGAGAGGAGCTGATTCTGGAATAGAGCGGGACACCTGTGATCAATAAAGCCTTCAGACAGAAAAACAGCTCTGAGGCACTGAACTGTAATTGGCCATTAAGAGCAATCTAATTAAGAGCATCGCAGTCTTTTCATTTGCGTTCATGAACAAAAGCTTTAGAGAATTCCAGAGGACAGAGTGCCAAACACAAGAGAAAAACAGAGAGAAATACATAAATAAACAAGACAATGAAATATACACAAAACAAAAGAAATGCAGTTCTAATAAGACAATGCAATAATAACGTAAGAGCAGGTTGAATATTCAAGGCTTACAAAAATATGTTCTAAGAATGTTTTACTAACATTTTCATTAAGTTATGAAAACGTTATTTCTGAATGTTCTCTGAATGTTTAAAACTACCAGGTTTTGTAATATTTTACAAATGTTTTCTCTTGGTCTTATGAACATTAAGGGAACATTCCATTGTATCACTTTTCAGTTGTTCTCTGAATGTTCTGAAACAATTAGTAGCATTTAAAAATTGTTAGGCAAACATTCTACTCAAATGTTTACAAAAATGTTCCATGAATGATGTATAAATGATGTTTTAAAAACACTATTAAAGAACGGTGAAATGGCCAGTTTTCTTGTCATTGTTTTAACATTACATTGCTCTTTACAAAAATGTAAAGACTACTAACTACTACTTTATGTTCCACTAACTTTATTTTCACCCAAAATATAGCATTTTTTGAACATTTATTTTTATTATTTTAAGAATGTTAAAATGTCCAGTTTTTTGTCATGATTAGAATGTTATTTAAAGGTTACAAAACGTTTCTTAGAACATTCCTCAAGTACAAATGATATTGTAACATTAGGATGTTCCGAGAATGTTGATCTCAGAACGTTTTCTCTCAATGCTATGAGAATGTATTTCAAGCATTAATAAAGTTATATTAATGTTCCATAAACATTACTTTAAGAACTTTTGCCCTAATATTATTTATATAACTTTTTAAAAACACTGTTCTGAGAATTTTCTCTGTTAGATGGGTCACCGGTGTAATTTGCTTCCAGTTATTTTAGCCGCACAAAACGTCTCGGGTTACGCATGTAACCATGGTTCCCCTAGAGGGAACGAGACGCTGCGCCCCCTAGGGGACACACTGGAGAATGCAGCCTACATGACCGGTGTCTGAAGTACGTGTGAAACAATGCCAGTCTATTGGCCTACCTGGCCTATGACGTCATAGCCGGGGTGCCCGGAAGTATAAAAGGGCACCCGCTGAATACGTAATTCACTTAGCTGTCTGAAGGAGACGTAAACAGGCAGGCCGAAGGCATGGAGAGGGTGCGCAGCGTCTCGTTCCCTCTTGGGGAACCATGGTTACATGCGTAACCCAGAGACGTTCCCTTTCTAGGGAACTCCACACTGCGCCCCCTAGGGGGCACATTGGGGAACAAAATCCAACCATGCTGTGCCGAGGCGCATGTCTGTCCACTTGGTGGGAGAGCACCAAGGAAGCGACAGATATACACCAAGCCTTTCCTCAGAAAGGGGCCATGCCACTGACGCCACAGGCCGCTCACACAACTTGGCAGAAATGGGGGAACCCGAATAGATCAAGGGGAACATTCCACCCAAGTCAGGAACACAGCTATCCTCAGAAAACTATGCTACGTGAGCAATATAGCCTGGATATACAAGACCACTGAAGAGGCTAACTAGAAAGCCTCTAGAGGAGCTCAAAAATTGCTACTTAAATCCTGAAAGGAGAAATAGCTGCTGAGCTGGAACACAGCTATCCT